GAACAAAAATCGTACACCTGTGGATGAGGACATGGGGGGCGGGGTAAGGGCAGAGGGTGGGGTGGGAACCAGGTGGAGGGGAGCTATGAGGGGAAAAAAGAGGAACAACTGTAATAATCTGAACAATAAATATTTTTAAAAAGCTTTAAAAAATATGAGATGGTACATGAAAGTAGACATTTCCTTTTTCTCTGGGCTTTCCCCACCACCACCTCTTTGCTGAGGCCAGACCAATGCTTTATAAGTAGATAGATAGACAGAGACAGAATACTTAGCAGAGAAATAAATTGTAGCAGTGAATAATCAGCACAGGAATTTTGCAAAGACTCAAGCTTTTATTCTAACTTCGGAGCTATTGACTTGTTGGAGACTTTTTTTCCCCTGAGCCCTTTGTGAAGATGACAGCCTCGTTGATGCTCTGTGTGATATAATCTATGTTGGAGGCATTGATACAGGTGAAGTTAATCCGACCATTCCTGGGGACGTAGATGTGTTTCTTCTTGACCAAATATTCTACCTGTTGGACTTGTGATAATCACAGGATCTCAGATCCTGGGGTGACCAACTCTAAGTCCCCTCTAGCCCAGGTGGATTATGGGGGATAGGGAGCATCAGCATTTGTGGGAGGTCATAGGGGTCTTCAAAGTAGCTCCACTTTCCTCAAGAAAGATTCAAAATCTGGTGTGAAGCTAAGGACTGGTCACCTAATCAGTGAAGTTGAATATTCAAATACAAGCCCAAGGTCAGAAAGGGGAGAGCTCTCTCCTCCTAGACACTTACAGTTGAGTCCAAGATAGCCATGGGTCCCATTCTGATTAGTGATGTGATCCCAGGAGCCAGGGGTTCCCAGGAGCCGGAGCTTCTCTTTAAACTTTTCTTTGATGAGCATAATGTTTTCTGCAACCTCTTTCAGACTCAGCTTCCTGCCAAAGGAAGGACAGCAAGAAATTAGAGTGTGCGGATTCCCTCTGCTCCCAATCTCCTCATTGCCATTCCACTTCTCTTCCCTTCAAAAGCCCCTAACCAGAGTGCCCGAGGGCACACCAGTGGAGTCAGGGATCTCAGATGGTTATGAATTGGAGAAAAGTTTCAGTCTGTATTAATTTAAGCAAGCCAAGCAGACTCCTATGCAGACTTTGGTAGAGTAGCAAGCTCTTGGGGCTTCCTAATCTCCTGCAATCTGGAAGAGTTCAAATAATTCAACAGTTTGTGTCCCATTCTATTACCCACTTCCCCATAATAGGGCAAGAGTTGGCACAGTCATTGCCATTGGAACACAGTGGGTCCTCAGTAAATGTTTATGAATGAATGGAGAAAAGAGGCAAGAAGCGAAGCACCCAGTTGAATCCTGTGAATCAGGATGTATGTAGGTATCTAGAGGCTCTGCCCATCCATCCCTGCCCCCACCCTTCACCCTTACCATGTTTCATACAGAGCAGGGTTACAGAGGATGGAGGTGATAATGCGAGCACCCGAGGTCGGAGGGTTTAGCCACAGGGCCAGGGCGAAGTTCATCAGCTGGGAGAGGACACACAGCAGGAGCTGGTTGTTGAGTGCCACCACGGCTAGGATCCCCACTCCTTCATCTGCAGCATGGAGACAGGAGCCTTGTTCTCAGTCTCCTCTACCGGGCCTTCCCCTGTAACTCGGCCTCCAACCTTGCCGAAGAGAGGGGTAACCTGCAGGGCCCTCATCCCAGCCCAGTCAAGCTGGTGTCCAGGCCCTAGGACGTTGCCAAAGGCTCTTCTTCCAGGAAGAGTAACTGTCAGAGTCTCAAAGGTGGAAGGGACTAGAAAGATAACTAATTCTTAACCCCTCCTCTTATAGATGATGAAATGAGGTCTAAGGGGGAAACAATGTAACTGGAGCCAGTTTTAATAACTAAGCTGAGATGATGTCACGGAACCAGATGTCTAGCTCCTCTCCTGTGCCCCATGCTGCCCTCTCTGGAGGCCATGGCTCTTTCCACAGGGTAGAGAGAGTGTGGAGTGTGTCATGGGTGTGGCAGCACTTTACTTCCAGACCCTCCCTTCTACTTCTGCCCAGACCATACCATAAATGCCAAAACTCTTGGACAGAGACTGGCTGCAGAAGAATTCAAAGCCTTCAGACACGAAGTATTGTAAGAATCTAGTATCTTCTTCCAGGTCACCGGTAGATAAACCTTGATAGGGAATGTCAAAAAATGGGAATATCCGCTTTTTCTAGAGGAGAAAGGAGAATGAAAAAAGGGTGAGACTGATGAAAATGATGGTAGATGGTGAAAGGAAGTCAAGTGAGACACTGGGCTCACCTTCATGGTGGCCATCAACTTTGTCCACTGACATTGTGTCAACTTGCAGTAGTCAATGTTCCCGATCACAAAGATACAGCCATCTGGGGCCCCCTATAGGTAGAGACTGTCTCATCAGGCACTGCCCCTACCAGGTGGTAGAGGCACCGGGGTGTTGGAGGAGAAGTGATCCTCCAAGTTGGTTCCTACCAAAGCACTAGACAAATCCAAGCCTAGAAAAGGCCCTGGATAATTAGAAGGGTGGGAAGGAAAGGAAAATAACACTGTAGGTCAGGTCTGGGAAAAAGTTTCTGAGGGTGGCCTCTCTACCTTCAACAAATTGAAGAGTATATTGGGGTCCATGCACAGCTGCTCAGAGTCCCAGAAGGAGAATTCAAAAACTATAAAGCCCATGTCCTGGAAGATGAGTCCATGTTGTTCTGTGAAAACACAGCCCCCCACCAGCTGTTACATGGGAAATGGAGAGATGGAAGCAGACATACCAGAGAATGGCCCTGAGGGTCAGGGTTGAAAATGGAGGAATGACAAGAAAAGGGCAAGCATACCTTGGCTTGTCCACCATTTGTCATGACAGAGAGTGAGGAGGACAGCAGTGAAGAATGTAAATGGGGTGGGAATCAGGAACGGGAGAGGGATCTTCTGTCACCCTCACCTTGCATAACACTCACCTACTTGAGAAGAAATGACGTAGACTATTTGAGAATCCCCACGCCAAGTTTTGAGGAACTGGGCCCCAAGTTGGAAGGCACCACTGTCACCAACAGTGTGCACACCCCCTGCCTGCCAATAAATAAATAAATAAACAAACAAACAAATAAACAGAAATAACACTTTAGAAGAGTAATGGTGATACTAGAACCACCTCAGGTTCAGAATATTCCTTTCTTGAGAGAGTTTGCACATTAGCAGTGTGGGCTGGTGCCAAGAGCATGGGCTTTGGGTTCTGATGCTGGCCCTGCCCTTCAATGACAAGCTTGGGACTCTATGAGCCTCACAAGTCTTCTTTGTCAATGCCGGGGGCAGGGGGGGCGTGTTCCAAAGTCCCTTTCACGTTGAAGATTGTGCAAACTCCGATTTCCACACCCTGTGTCTGCGTGAGTGAAGGAGGGGCCCTTCTCACCCTGTTCTCCACGATGACTTGGCTGTGCTTTCCAAAGAGAAGTCCCAACGAGGCCTGGATGAATGACTTCATGCCCATCACTGGTAGATACTCATAGTTCAGGGAGGGATCCTGTGCGATCTGCCGTCGGATTTTGTGCACCACGAAAGAAACCCAGGGTTGTCCTTCCTGGGTCATGCAGACTGTGAGAAGAACCGCAGAGGGTGCACTCGAGGCCTCTGGGCTCTGCAGACAGCCCACAAACAACTCATCTGTCCTGGCTTTCCTGAAGCTTTGGAAAGTTGCCTAAGAAAAGACAACTTTCCTTCCCACTCCTCCCTTTTATAAAAGCAACTTGCTATTAGTAAATATTTATAATTGTAAAAAATTGTTTTTATTTTTAAATGTTTTTATTGATTTTAGAGAGAGAGGAAGGGAGAGAGAAACACTGATCAGAGCTGTCTCCTGCATCAGGGATCAAATTCACAACCTGGGATCATGGTAAAAAATGGAGCAATGACAGGAAAAGGACAAGAAAACCTTGGTCCCAGCGACCAAGAACCAGTGACCTTTTGGTGCACAGGATAACACTCAACCAACTGAGCCACACTGGCCAGGACAATTTTTGTGGGGGTTTTTGTTTTGTTAACCTTCACCTGAGGATATTTTCCCATTGATTTTTAGAGAGAGTGGAAAGGAGGGAGAGAGACAGAGAGAAACATCAATGTGAGAGAGACACATCACCGATTGGTTGCCTTCTGCACATGCCCCAACCAGGGCCAGGGATCAAGCCTACATATGAGGTTCATGCCCTTGACTGGAATAAAACTCAGGACCCTTCAGTCCTCAGGCCTACGCTCTATCCACTGAGCCAATTTTTGTCTTTTTAAAGAAGACAACTGAAACCTATGTGCCATTTTAAAAGGCGAAAATTATATACAGCCTGGGAGTTATAAATACCTGAGATTAAACAAAGGTAACACTGACGTTCACAGTGGCAAGGGCTCTCTGTATATTAGAAGAGTCAATTTAGGGAACCATTCTTGGTTCAGGAACAGAAAGGGGATGGAGGAAGAGGCAGAAAAATGTGCTGTGCTCATGCAGGCCCCATATACAGCTGGGGAAGAGGATATACCAGAGCTTGTATCAAACCTCTGGAAGCCCCCAGAGAAAGGCAGAGGGCACGGAATGACCCAGGATGTTTTCTGCTCTTTTGCCCACTGGGAGAAGCTTGCGAGATGTTCCTGATTCCTCTGTAGCAATGGAATACTGCCCCCTAGAGGCAATTATGATATACTAAGTCTTAGGCATCTACCTTTATAGGCCAGGAACATCTTCTTAGAGCAATTGTCTTGTTTGTAGGTCTTTAACAAGCTGCCTTCTAGCTTCTGGGCTACGGGCACATCCAAGAACACTGAAAGGGTGGACATCACTGAGATGAAAGTAGAACCAAGACTATGACTCCACTCCTAAGCTCTCTCCTGCTTTTGCCCCAAGGCTTCCTCTAAGCCTGAGCTTCCCAGGTCTGCCTCTTCCCAGAACCCTGGCAGTTCCAATACAGAGGCCCCACACAATTGGTCACCAGAGCAATAGAACCCAACTCCCAGTCTCCATGGTGGCAATCCTCAAGGACTATGGGAATATTCCGTGGCACTTGAGAAGAATCCCCTGAGAGATGGCTAGGGGAGGGAAGACCTGGAATTCTCAGGCACTTCTCCCTAACTCATTGCCTTCTCCTCTCTAACCCCAATTCGCCAAATCCAAAATAACAAGTCAGCCCTTTAGAAGATAGGGCAATACCTGGAAATAAATAAAAATGAACACACAACAACCCAAAATCTATGGGATACAGTGAAAGCTGTTCTGAGAGAGAAGTTCTTAGCATTACAGGCCTGCCTCAAAAAGAAAGAAAAATCTCAAATGAACAATCTAACCCTACACCTAAAAGAACTAGAAAGAGAGCAACAAGAAAAGCCCAGAGTAAGCAGAAGGAAGGAAATAATAAAGGTTACAATGGAAATAAATGACATGGAGTCTAAAAGAACAATACAAAAGATCAGTGAAACCAAGAGTTGGTTCTTTGAAAAGATAAACAAAATTGATGAATATTTAGTCAGACTCACCAGGAAACAAAGAGAGGACTCATATAAGCAAAATAAAAAAATGAAAGAGGCGAAGAAGTAACAACTGACATCACAGAAATACAAATTATTAGCCCTAACCAGTTTGGCTCAGTGGATAGAGCGTCCGCCTGTGGACTGAAAGGTCCCAGGTTCGATTCTGGTCAAGGGCATGTACCTTGGTTGTGGGCACATCCCCAGTAGGGAGTGTGCAGGAGGCAGCTGATTGATGTTTCTCTCTCATCGATGTTTCTATCCCTCTCCCTCCCTCTCTGTAAAAAATCAGTAAAATATATATATTTTTAAAAAGAAATACAAAGGATTGTAAGAAAATACTATGAACAATTATATGCCAACAAATTGGACACTCTGAGCAAAATGGAAAAATTCCTAGAAAGGTACAATCTCCCAAAACTCAATCAGGAAGAATCAGAAAACCTGAATAGACCAATAACACCGAATGAAATTAAAGCAGTAATCAACTACCAGCAGCCCGGCCAGGGTTGCTCAGTGGTTGAGTGTTCACCCAAGCACCAAGAGGTCCCAGTCAGGGCACATGCCCAAGTTATAGGCTGGTTCCCCAGTAGGGGGCATACAAGAGGTAGCCAATGGATGTTTCTCTCTCATCAATGTTTCCATCTCTCTCTCCTTTCCTCTCTCTCTAAAATCAATAAAAAAATATTTAAAAAAAAACTCCCAGTAAACAAAGGTCCTGGACTGGATGGCTTCACAGGAGAATTTTATCAAACATTCAAATAAGAACTAACACCTACCCTTCTCAAATTATTCCAAAAAATTCTAACCTCTTTTTATGGGGCCATCATTATCCTATTTCCAAAACCTAAAACCTGATGAAAAACACTACAAAGAAAGAAAATTCTAGGCCAATATCCCTAATGAACATAGATGCTAAAATCCTCAGCAAAATATTAGCAAACCAACCGGATCCAGTAATACATTAAGAAGATCATACACCGTGACCAAATGGGATTTATTCTGGGGATGCAAGGCTGGTACAATATCTGTAAATCAATAAATATGATAAATCACATAAAATGAAAGATAAAAATCACATGATCATATCGATAGATGCAGAAAAAGCATTTGATAAAATCCAGCACCTATTTATGATAAAAACTCTCAGCAAGGTGGGAATAGAGGGATCATACCTCAACAAAATAAAGGGCATGTATGAAAAACCTACAGCCAATATCATACTCAATGGGAAAAAACTAAAAGTATTTCCCTTAAGATCAGGAACAAGACAGGGATGTCAGTCCCAGTCCAATCCAGAGTGTCACCGTGTCATCAGGGTTCCAGAGTCATTCTTTGTGTTTCCCTTGGCTCTGCTCTTCTGGATGCTTCAGCTTTGGTCTCCAGCTGACTGGGCATGGGAGTAAAAGCGAATGTAGTTTATGTGCAAAATGATAGGCATTTGAGGAATTTTTATTGCAACTGTATGTGCTGTTAAAGTAAAAAAAAACAAAAAAACAAACAAAAAAACACATTCAAACCTATAAAGAATTTTTGTGAGTTTAGTTGAGCCAAACCTTGTTTTTACATTACAATGAAACGGGGAGAGATGAGACATGGGGGGTAGGGAACCTCTGGGATTGGATAAAAAGTAAAATGATAGACACATACTTCTTTTACTTAGGTTGGTGTAGGGTAGTTAACAATCAACAATTAACATGACAACAATAACGATGAAGGAATTTGATTTCACCCTGAGGGATATGGAAAAAGGGAAGTTACAAGTTACCCTGACTTTTCACAGGTATGTTATCTTAGATGCAAAAAGACAATAGGCTCAGTAAAGATTGAAGTTGATTTTTGTCAAGGAAGATACTGGCCTGGGACTTGACTACCCACTATAAACTGTTTTTTAATGAAAGGTTTTTAATTTCAGACCATCCTTTGTGGTTACTTTAAGTCTCTTGAATTTGCAAGGCCGCTATGCAGGCCTTCCCTGAGTTAGTCAGGTTAGCATGTGGCCCTTTTTTCATCCACAGTGCAAATAAACTAAATGTCAGTCACTGAAGGATGCTTAAATTAATAATGGACCATCCACAAAATGGAATTCTGCGCTACTGTTAAAGGCAGACCTATGTGTGTAGCTGTGGAAAATCTCCAAGAAACATCATTAAGTAAATACAACGGAGGTAGAGAAAAAGAGCAAAGAGTGGGCCATTTGGGGAAGAAATAAGATACACTTGCATGTGCACGCTTGCATATGGCAGACTCTCTGGAAGTACACACGGAAGCACGTAACTATGAATTCCTCTGGAAATGGAATTCGGTGGCAGCTGGACACAGACAGGGGGAAAGGCTGATTTGCTTTTCACTGTATACTACTTTTGTACTGTTAAACCACATGCATAAATTTCCCATTCAAAAACAGTTGTTTTTTTTAATGGCTGCAGCCTTTCCAGACATTATATCCTTATTATGCAGAAGGCCAATCATTTCTTCTCTTAGCTCCCTGAAAGGAGGAGGAAGTTTCCATTCCTGGCTTCCCAAGCCTTCTTTCTCCCTTCTTTTGGCTGCAGAGACTCATAGGCCCATCCTTGATCTTATCATGACTGAGTATGGGATCCTCTAGTGACTTTAACCCAATCGCCTAGCGCTCAGGGTGGTGTCAAACCCTCCCTAGTTGTGCCGCCAGGAATAGAACTTTGGTTCCTGAGTCCTGAGTCACAGTGCTTGTTCTGAAAAGGGGAATGTGGCTCAATCCTGGCCTATTGGAGTCCCCTTGGAGAAGAGCCTTTCATTACTCTCTAGTCATGTGGTTATAAGGAAATGGGGATCCTAAATCTTCCAGGAGCTATTAAGGGTTGGTAAGACTGAGGGTCTGATTATTTCAGCTTCAATTGTGATGAATGGGCTCTGTCGCCCACTAAGACCCACAAAACAGCAAATTCTCCAAACTCTAGAAAGAGTCCACAGGCTAGGCAGCCAAAAAAGACAAATTTTCACAATTATACTTTTCTCTCTTCTCCCAGTAGACTCATCTACTGCTGGCACTTCTTATTTCACCGAGACAATAAAAGCAATCAAAAGAGACTTCCACATACTCCCATTGTAACTACCAATCTACTACATAGATACCCACCTACTCTGTCTTTCCTCTTAGTACAATGCTTGAGTTCACCTATTCTGTGCCCCCATCTCAATCCAATCTTTTCCTTTGTGCCCTGGATCCAAGCTACAATACTCTTGCAGTTATCCTTTCTCTTCTCTCAAGCAAACAAGCAGCAAACTACCATCTTAAAAACAAACAACATTCCCTTGACCTCACATCACCTCTGCAGCTATTACTCCATGTGTCAAGGAAACAGATCTGCTGGGAGTGATATGGGTATTACAGGAATTAGACTTCACACTATTGGAAGAGGGCCTGAGGAAGTGAAGGTCCAATGAAGGGAGCTAGAGAATCAGAGAAAAATCATAAATCAGGCTGTCCTTGCCGGTGCAAGGATAAATCAGAGCTTGCAGGGAAATTTAAAAAGCCAGACACATCCAGCTGCAGGAATGGCACCGAGAAGCAGGAATGTATGGAGAGGTCTATAGGGCTTCTCTGCAGCTACCACACCTGTGGGTCTGCAGCCAAGTGCCTGGTGGTGCTCCATTGGACAGTGGGGTCTACAGTCTGGAAGAAGAGCTAGACAGAGAGCTGAGAGATATGCTTCCATATCTCACCTGGGAGTCCTTCAGGTATTAGTAGACTCTGCTTCACTTCTGCCTCTCAAATCTTGAGCAAGATCCTCTTTTGGAGAGGATCTAACAAGGATTCTGAGAAACAGGATGCCCAGATTGACGAAAATAACAACAGGATCATTGACCAAAATAGCAACAGGATCATCAATCACACCACATTTCTCTGGTCCTCTTCAGAGCAAGAGCTATTGAGAGAACGTTTGATTCTATCTCCACTTCTTCATCTCCCAAGTTCTGTTGAATCCCTCTGATCAGCATTTCATCCCTTCACACCATCAAGCTGCTCTCTAACAAATGACAGACCTTCGTCCTGTAAAATCCGAAGGTGTGTTCTCAGTTCTCCTCTTATTTGATGTTTCGACAGCATGTGACAAAACTGACCACTTCCTCCTTAAAATACTTTCTTCCCATGGCATTCAGGATGCTACTTGCTTTTGCTTCTCCTTTCACCTCATTACTGCTGCTTCTCAGTGGCTTTCTTGGTTCCTTCTATTTTTGACCTTTAAATGTTAGAATGCTCCAGGGCTCAGTCCTCTGAATTCTGTTATTTATGCCTGGAGTAATTTTGTTTTATTTTTCCAAGCTTTCTGAGATATAATTGACAAATAGTATAGTGTAAGTGTAAGGTGTGCAGTGTGTTGACTTGAATTCTCTACTATGGTCACCATGCAGGTGAGCTCATCCATTTCCATAAGCTTAAATACACTTCTGTCAAATTTATAAATCCATTTCTGACTTCCCTTCCAATCTACAGATTTGGAAATCCAAATGTCTACTTGATATTCTAAGACATAATTAATAGACTTTTCAAATATACTATGTCCAAAAACTAAACCATAGTTTCATATCCTCCTCACTTTTCCCCCATTTTAGTAACAGGCAAGTCCATTCTGCCAAGTGGTCAGGCCAAAAATCCCTTGGTCTCATTCCTGTCTTCTCCCTTTTCTCTTATACCCTACATCCAATCATTGGCAAGCTTTGTCAGTTCTACCTTGCAGCATATCTGGAGTCTGTTTTCTTGATAAAAACTATCTGGTAGATGAACAAATGGGCGGAAGAGCAGAGTGTACAATCCGTGTTTGGATTCATGACAGAGGGTAGTCTGTGTGAAGGTATAGAGACAACAAAAATAAAATGAATTCTTTAGTGAATTTAAGCCTGGTAGGAATAAATGTGGATGGGGGAGGAGAGTGGTGAGAAATTGGGTTAGGAAGGTAGGTAGACACTGTCCATCTAATGCCAGGCCTTTATGTTAAGGGGTCTGATTTTTACCCCAAATGCTTTAGGAAGCCATTGAATGATTTTAAGAAAGGGAATGACATTGTCAGATTTATATTGTATAAAAATCCCCCCTGGGGGCCTTGTGGAGGATGAATTAGAAGGAAGCCAGAGCTAGTCAGGAGGGCCAAGTGGAGACTATTTTAGTTAATTCTGTTAAGAAGTGATGAAGACCTTGGATTATGACAGTGGTTATTGAGTAGTCTTGCCAGTTGTCCTCCATAAAAATACTAGGCATCAAAGCAGGAACATTCTGGTGGGTAGGGAGGATTTGAAAAATATCTGCTAATTTAAACTCTATTCTATGTATCAAAGGTAATTACTTTTGTACCATTTGTATACCTCCTTTTTGTTTTTTAAAGAAACCGGCATGCCCTGGCTGGTTTGGCTCAGTGGATAGAGGGTGAGCCTGGGGACTGAAGGGTCCCTGGTTCGATTCCAGTCAAGGGCACATGCCAAGTTGTGGGCTTGGTCCCCAGTGGGGGGCGTGCGGGAGGCAGCCCATCAATGATTCTCATCGTTGATGTTTCTCTCTCTCCCTCTTCCTTCTTCTCTGAAATCAATAAAAATATATTTAGAAAGAAAGAAAAGAAGGAAGGAAGAAAGGAAGGAAGAGGCATTCTTCATTGCAACAACTTGCAAGAAAAGCAAGGTTGGAAGTCCAATACAGACCAACCAGGTCAATGCCAGTGAGCCAGCAACCCTACCAAGAAGATGGGCATGAGAGTGGGTCAGGGTTAAGAACTAGATTGCCCTTATGATTAGTTCTTCCTCCAGTAAACTAGTGGAAGCCATCACACAGCTAGCTTCTGAGGCTTGAGGTTGCTGATGTAGTGAAATTCACCATCAGCCCCAAATGTTTCTCCTTCCCCAGAAATGGTAGGAATTTCTCCATTGGAGAAGCAGCTGCCCATGCTCCCCTCCTTCTCCAAGCCTCTCTCCCTGAAGTTCTGGGAGAGTGTTCCCACATCAATTAGATTCATACGTGGGCCCAAGGAGAGGTCTTAGAGCAAGCATGTCAAACTCAAAGGCTAACACGGGCCAAATAAACAAGGTTTAAGTTTATGGGGGATGCAAAAGAACAAAAGCTTCAATTTTCATAGAAACATAGGTTTATTTCGATAGAGACATGCTGAATACAAAGGGCTGAAATAAATGAGTAATTGTTAACATAAAATAATAGAACATTTTAATAAAAAGTAATATTTTTTCTTGAACATTGACTTACCAGACACTGAATAACTGCACAAATTAATAAGCATAACACAAATAAACCTATTTTTCTTGTTCTCCAAAAGCGAAATATTTCCTGTTGCACACACCAATCAAGCCAGTCCAAGACTAATGACATGGCAATTGGCTGCTAAAATATTCGCTGCTAGTATTAGTGGAGAGAAATGGTGTGCCTGCACGTAAGGCACGTAAGGGAAATGAATGCAACATGATTGTAGTAATCAGTCATTAGTGAATGTTGCAAGTTTGTTATTAATAACTAGAGGCCCAGTGCATGAAATTTTTTAAATATATATTTTATTGATTTTTTACAGAGAGGAAGGGAGAGGGATAGAGAGCTAGAAACATCGATGAGAGAGAAGCATCAATCAGCCGCCTCCTGCACATCCCCTACTGGGGATGTGCCTGCAACCAAGGTACATGCCCTTGACCAGAATCGAACCTGGGACCCTTCAGTCCACAGACCGACACTCTATCCACTGAGCCAAACCAGTTAGGGCCCAGTGCATGAAATTTGTGCACCGGTAGGGTCCCTAGCGGTTGCCGGTTGCTGGCCAGGGCCTCCCTTCCCCTGGCTGCCTGCGGCTGCAGCTGACCAGAGCGGTGCTGGCTGGGGGGAGGGCCCGAGGGCTGTTGGCCAGCCAACCCCACCCCCTGGTCGAACTCCCAGTCGAGGGGACAATTTGCATATTAGGCTCTTATTATATGGGGTTATGTATAATAGGATATTGTAAAACTTAAGTTATGAAATTTTTATTAAAACATTTCTTACATACCGTTACATTGGCTGGGCCGCAAAAATATTCGTTGTGGGTGCCATTCGGCCCGAGGGCCGCAAGTTTGACATGCTTGTCTTAGAGGAAGGACTCACTCACTCAATCTAGTGACTGGAAGGAAAACCAGAGACACTGTGGGTGGTGCTGAGCTGAGGTAAAGCTCTCCGTTCTCACTCTCTCCTCTGGGAAGAAGTGACCCATCCCTTTCCCCTCTTGAAATACGTTGGTGACCCATCCCTTTCCCTTCTTGAAATACGTGGAAGCAATAATATTTCATCTTGCTTCTTGCTAAAGAGATTTTGAGAACTATGTTTGTGTGCCATTATGTTATAAAGTGTGGCACCTCACTGGCAATTTAGAAATGAAAACTGTAGTAAATGGGTTCTGAACCTTTAGCTCCTAATTTTCTTAAAAGGTGTGTGGGGGTCAGGGGGTCATAGAAACTGGTCATTCCCTCAGAAGTGGAGAATGAAGACTGAGAGACCCTGTTCCTGGGACACCCAGTCAAAAGTCCCCAAGGGGCCTTTCGGGAGAATAGTAGGCCATGACAGAACATGGGATCTTCCTGAGCTCATGGTCCCATTGTACTTTCTTTTTTTAAAAAATATATTTTATTGATTTTTTTACAGAGAGGAAGGGAGAGGGATAGAGAGTTAAACATCGATGAGAGAGAGACATTAATCAGCTGCCTCCTGCACACCCCCTACTGGGGATGTGCCCGCAACCAAGGTACATGCCCTTGACCAGAATCGAACCTGGGACCCTTGAGTCCGCAGGCCGACGCTCTATCCACTGAGCCAAACCAGTTAGGGCTCCCATTGTACTTTCAATTCTGATGAAACACCTTTAAAAACACCAGAGAAGGGCTGTTATAAACAATAACCTTAGGCAGAATTGTGCAGTGAGTCTATATTCATTTTCTACTGCCGTGTAACAAATTACCACAAATTTAGCAGCTTAGAACAATACACATTTATTATCTCACAATTTTCATGTGTTAGGGGTCTGGGTGTGGGTTAGCTGGGTCTTCTATTCAGGCTCTCACCAGGATGAAATGGAGACATCAGCCAGGGCCACAGTCCCATTTGAGGTTCAGAGTCCTCTTTCCACTCACACGGTTGTTGGCAGAGTCCACTCCTTGCAGTTGTAGAACTCATGGTGGCTAGCTTCCTGAAGCGCAGCAGGATTGTCCCTCTGACTTCTTCTGTCTCATACCTCTGACCTTCTTTTAAAGGGAGCACCTCATTAGGCCTGGTTCCCCCAGCATTATCTCCCTTTTTATTAATTTAAGTCAACTGATAGGGACCTTAATTACATCTTAGAAATTCCTTTGCCTCGGCCATATAACATAATCACAGAAGTAGCATCCCATCACCTTTGCTATATCGTGTGTGTTGGAATCAAATTACAGGTTCCACCCACATTCAAGGGTAGGGGATTATCTAAGGACATGGTTTACTGGGGGTCATCTCAGAATTCTGCCTACTACACAGTCCAAGAGAATAGTCCTTCCATGAGGGGTGACTGGTGTGGATGATAATCTAATGAGACAAGAACTCTTAATTAAGGAATTCATAAGTGTCTCTCGCTGAAGTGGGTTGAATAATGTCCTCCCCAAAATGTGTCCACCTGGACCTTGTTTGGAATAAGGGTCTTTGAAGATATAACCTAAGATAAGGATCTTGCGACGAGATCATCTGGATTAGGATAGGCCCCAAATTCAAAGATGCATGTCCTGTAAGAGACAGAAAAGGAAAAGACACACAGGAGCACAGGGGGAAAGTGAAGACAGAGGTACGTGATGTATATAAGTCAAGGAATGCCAAGAATTGCCAGTGCCACCAGAAGCTAGGAAAGAGGCAGGCAAAGGTGCTCCTTCAGAGCCTCCAGAAGGATCCAGCCTTGTTGATACCTTGATTTCAGACTCTGGCCTCCGAAACTAGGAGAGAATAAATTTCTGTTGTTTGAAGCTACCAAAGTTGTGGTAATTTTTACGGCAGTCTTGGGAAACTAACACACTTACTGATCATTGCCTCCTTACAAATCAATGTCCAAGAGATGGACTTGGTGGTCACAGGTGTAGCACAAACTCAGATGCTACAGAGATGCCATTCCCACAGATCAGAGGTACCTAAGAGGAACCACAGCAAGGCAGCTTTGTAACCCAACCTAATTCATCACAGAATGTAAGCAGATGCCCATTTATTCATAACCTCTTTTATTATATCCTCACTGATGTATTTGTTTAATGCAGCTGTTGTGTTGTTATTTTTTTAAAGGCTGAAATAACTGTGGCTTAAACAAGGTAAAAGTTTATTTTTCTTTCATTTAAGAATCTTAAAATTAAGCAGTCCAGGGTTAAAATGCTGTCTCTGCACCGTTGGACACCCAGGCTCTCTGGTTTTTCTGCCATTTGATGGCAGATGGTTGCCATCTTATGACCCAAAGTGACTACTTCCATTCTTACCATCACACCTGCATTCCAGTCATCAGGAAGGGACTGGCTAGAACTTAGCCACATAGTCACATCCAGCTGCAAGCAAGGCTGCAGTGTATCTATGGTGAGGCCATGTGCCCAACTAAAACTTAGGTGACCTATTACTAAAGAATGAAGGGAAGAATGGAGAATGGGTTGCAACTTCTGCCCACAGGAAACAACAAACACCGGTCTGATTTATCAGTGGTCTTTCCAATCTGGGGCCCAGGGATATGGGAGAAAAAGCCTAAAAATGGAAATTCAGGAATGGGAGCACTCCCACCACCCTTCTGACTGAGTATAGGATGAAACAGAGCTTTGGAAATGTGGAAAACATCAGGCATAAGATGAGCATGAAAAGGCTACGCATTACAGTGATCCTCCTTCCTCCCATCCCCTGTTGTGGGTTGAATTGTGTCCCCATAAGATATGTTGAAGTCCTAACCCCCAGAACTGGTTAATGTGACCTTATTTGGAAACTAGAGGCCTGGTGCACAATATTTGTGCATGGCGGGGGGGAGGGGGGTTCCTCAGCCCAGCCTGCACCCTCTCACAATCCAGAACCCCTCAGGAGATGTTGGACTGCTGGTTTAGGCCCAATCCTTGCAGGCAGTCGGACATCCCTCTCACAATCCGGGACTGCTGGCTCCTAACCACTTGCCTGTCTGCCTGCCTCATCACCCCTAACCACTCACCTGCCTGCCTGATTGCCCCTAACCCCTCTGCTGCCTGCCTGCCTGACTACCCCTAACCACTAGCCTACCTGCCTGATCACCTCTAACTACCTCTGCCTCTGCCTCAGCCTCCGCCACTGCAGCTTCATCTGGAAGGACATCCGGAATGACATCCAGAAGGTTGTTCGGCTATCTGGTCTAATTAGCATATTAGCCTTTTATTATTATAGATAAGGTTTTTATAGATGCAATCATGTTAAAATTAAGTCTTACTGAGTTAAGTTGGGCCCTGATCTAATATCTGGTGTTCTTAGAAGAAGAGGTAAATTTGGACACAGACACATAGGGGAAGAAGGCCATGTGAAGCTGGGGGCAGAAGTTGGAATGATGCAGCTACAAGTCAAGCAACCAAGGATGGCCACAAGAGGCAAAGAGAGATTCCTCCCCTAGAGCCTTCAGAAAGCATGATCCAACCAACACTTTGATTTTGGACTTCTAGCTTCTAGAACTGTGAGAGAATACATTTCTGTTTGTGGTAATTGTTTATGGCAGTCCTAGCAAACGAATACACTATCTTCCTTTTTCTGGTTCCTTAGGGCCCCCTTCTCCTGAACCCTGATTCTGTCTCATAAAGCACTGACATCCGGAAGTGCCCTCTGTCTCAAAACCTTCTGTCCATCCTTTAAAATTTAGCTCATTGTAAGTGCTGCAAGGGCAATGATAGGATGAGCCAAACCAGGACCAAAATGTCAGGCACAAGCCAGACCAGGGTCTGAACGTGACAAGAGGGCCAGAGGGGGAGACGTTCAGTGACATGGATATGGAGCCAGTGGAATTGGTCTGAGGTGGGGAGGAACCTGCAGAAGAAAGATAAAGTAGGGTGTGCCCACAGTGACCAAGGACAAGTGGGTCCAAGATCCAGGCTGTCGATAGAAGCAGGACCATACAAGGATCAAAACCAGGACACCTGGAACTAGTCCCAGCTTCATACTCTAATGACACCACTTACACTGGAGAAGCCCTTTCGGTGTCCAAACCATTTTTGCATACAGTCATTTGTTCTTCAAAACCAGTCTGCATGAGCTGAGTAGAGCACTAATAAAATCTCCACTTGATTCACTGGCAAACAACATGTCAGATGCTAAGTAACTTGCTCAGCATCACATAACTGATTATAGCAGTGTGTGTAGAGAGAAGAAAATAAACGTTGGAGCCTGGTAGACTGCATTAGAATCAATACAAGCAAGCTATTTGATTTCTATGAAACTCTGTGGTTTTTTTGAGACTATTTTTTATTTGTGTCACTAATATAACATTTGTAGTGACACCAAATAAAACAGTTATATTTATTTGTGCTCAATAAATTATCATGTCTTTCCTACTCCCTTTTTCCCCCACATGTTTTATTAATAATTCTTTGTTTCCTCCTCCCTTTCTTACTTGTTTTCCAGCTCTGAATTCTGTGCTCTTTATACTACCAACCACAGTGTTGCATTTAAATCTTGGTTTCTCACAAGTCACCTCTCTAGAAGTCAGTCTCTTCATCCATTTTATCAAAAGATTGGTCTAAATCATTTATGTGGTCTCTTCCCGTTGGGCTAGGCAGGGGCCTTATGTTTTCAACAGACCAGTATTTCAAAGTCCACACCTGTTGTACCTCACATCGCCATCAGGGGGCACCTAGCACTGCTTATGCCTTGGGTGGCGCAGATACTGAAGGTGCTAAATAAGCTCTGCCTAGGCCCTAGGACTTCACAGAATTTGAGGAGAGCCAACCATCCCAGAAACGCTCATTCCCCTTCTGAAGACAAGAGAGGAGAGAGGGTTATTCTCCATTTATTTTATAGATGAGGGAAGCATTTTGATTTTCCTTAATCTCCTAATAGGATGAGCTAATGAAAGGTCAGATGGCCTTATGGAGTTTCTGCTAATCAAACTGAGTTGTGCATTATGCTTCAACCACTCACTAATTAGCCTAAAGCTGACTACATCCAGGGCTTTATGCCTGGAGTTGGGGGGGGGAGCATTAGCAATACTCTCCATTGGAGGCACCCACTTCCCCTCTGGACACAAACACAGACGTAATCCACCAGGAGGCCTGAGAGGAAGCCTGGATCTTTGGTTTTCAGGAGGGAAACATAAAGAAGTACTGTTTCCATGGCCTTCACCTGTGCCTCCAGGACAAGAGGAAAAAGCTGCTCCTACTCTATGAAGGGTTGAGGAATGAAGTTGGTGTGGAATTGTAGCCCGCTGACTGCTCATGAGGACCACAGTCTGAACTTACCTTCGTTCCCCAGAAGAATCTACCATGGGGAGAGCCTGAGAAAAGTCTCTCAGCTTCCCCCATGCCCTAATTCTGCCTGCTCTTAGCAGTTCCTCCGGAAAATCCAGTCACTCCTCACTCCCTCTCTTCCAACTCAGCCCCCTTCTCCCTGTCATTTCTGCCCCATGCCCAGCTCCTGCTAACAGACTCTGGCAAGACCAGCGATTCCACGGGCTCTTTCATTCTTAATGGTCTGTAAGTCTTCACAGCTGTAGGTTCAGAGGATGGTTGTTTGTCTTCCACAGTTCAAGTGCTCAGGCCTCATGCTAACAAACGCAGCCTGCTCCCCATCCAAGGATGTAAATCTCTCTCAGCCTGACACCTGGTCACAAGTTGCTGGAGAAACAACCGGAGAGGTTGCCTCTCCACCTGTCAGATACACTGGTGACAATTCACAGATGGAGTCCACAGCTCCAGTGCAAGTCTAAACACTCCAAAGGAGTCTGACAGCTGGCACACGGGTATCTGTCAAGCAAGACTCAAGCAGTATGAGTTCCTGGATAATGTTCAAGAACAGTTCTACAAACCAGAATCCTTCTCCATTCCCTCCCTCTTCCCCCTGACAAATCACCCTTCTCCCCTGCCTAGGACTGACTGGGCAACTTTCCTCAGTGATGCTGAGAAAATATTCAGAGATGGAGAGGCGGCCCTCTTACTTATCCCCAGGCTAAAGCTAGACTTCCTTCTCCACTAAGGGTTCAAAAGTTGAGTCCTTGCCCAGAAACCTTCCACACCTCAGACAGCAGAGATCTCACACTGGCCTGGGTTGAAAAGGAGAAAGCCATCTTTGGTATGCAAACATCCTAAGAAATAAAACCTGGGCTCCTGGAGAAAAGAGAACAGCAGAGGCCAGGTCCAATTCACAGGGAACACCCATATGTGGACATCCACCGAGCTTATCCTCAGGGCAGATCGAAGTTTTATAACTCTGGAGCTCCTGAACCTAGCCAATGCATTGTACGCTGCTGTCATTCAGCACATTAAACTTGCTTATGATTTACAGGTTATCCTGTATATCAGTCCAGACAATGGCCTCTGTTCATGGGGTTTAAGTAAGAACTCACAAAAAGATCCAGTGATTTCCATAAAAATGTGCTTTCCATAGAAAACTGCCTGATAAGATTCATAAAAATTGGAATAAGGAAAACAATGATCAACTGGCTCAGACTTGTAACTCCAGTTTTACTTCCAGAGGATACTATAGATTTCTACAGCCCAGGAAAGGGAGTGGGGAGGTAGAGGTTAGGAAAAGAATGGGAAATGTCAGAATATATTTATAGCCCAAGACATATGCCCAACACAAACAATGCTCCGTGCCTCCAGAAATGAACACGTACAGTGCAGAATAAAACTGGTGCCTGCTGGCAACGGGATCGTAGGAAGCCGACACTGGCTTGTAGCATGGGAGCTGACATATGCTCCATGTGCCCTGATCCTGAGCCCAGCAAACGCAATCCCGTGGACACTTTGCTCAAGTCCTGTGGGTAACATGGCTTTGCTACTCACTTGAACTGGATTCCAGGAGTTTTGGAAAGGGTGGGGAGGCAGGAGTATCAGCGGCTCAAGCTCGCTCCCCTTTATCCAAGCAGATGTTTCATTTTCATTTCACGAGGGTTAGGAAGAAAGGAAAAAGGATTAGTCCTAATTTATTGCTGCTGTCGAAAGCCAGCGCTCAGAAGTAAGTGGATTATGGAAAGAAAACAAATGGAGAGAAAAGAAGGCAAAGGATGAACTGCATTCAATAATATTTATTAAGTTGATTTAAAAATGTAAAGAAGGGATCCATTCTAATGGTTCACCTTCTATGAACCCTGGAGTCCCCCCAAACCCTGAAGAAGTCCTTCTGACACTGTTGTGAGGTAGATCGGAGCTATTCTGTGTCTAAAGTGAGGGAGGCTGGTGCTTAGAGAGCCCTGGTGAGGAAGCCAGGGACAAAAATCCCAAACCCTGACCTTTTTTAGCTTCCTGCTCTCAGCCTGGGCTGCCAAGCCTAGAGGACACTGAGTGGTTCATCAGTTGGGGGTGGGGAATAGAACGAGGGTACTCTCTCTGCCCTAAGCACATGCACACAAGTGAGCAAGGTGCCCGGCCAAAGCCAGCCAGACTGCTCCAAGGGCAGCTGGGTACAGGCAGCCCGACTCTCTAGCTGCTGAGGTATTGGTGAAGTTCAGGAATGGGATTTAAAAATCTTCTCTCAGAAAGAAAGAGAGAGGATGGCAAAACGCCCGCTTGGTAAGGCTTCTCCTCCCAGTCCGTCCCCACCTCCCCATCCGTGGCCCAGTCATCAGGTTCTGGAGGGCAGAGTTTTCCAGCTGGGAAACTCCACGGGGCTCGTTCTAAACAGAGGCCAGAGCTTTCCAAAGGTTCTGGATCAATGATCAACGGAGCTCTTGTTTCTTGTCCTTCAAGGCCTAAGAAATTCCCCAGGAAGCCCTGGAAAAAATGAAGACAGCAAATCTTGGGGTGGGTGGGGCACAGGGTGGGGACAGGGGACCCAGGCGGTCAGGGACCCTGAAAACCCCTAATTATACAAAAGCCTCCGTCCCACGCAGCCACAAGCCTACGGGACTCCAGCCCAGCCCTGTCTCTACCAGCTGGAAGAACTCGCACTGCGGCTTCCTCACTCCCCTCAGACCCTTCAGACCCTCAGTGCATTCTCACCTTCGTGGCTATCAACCCTTCAAAGAAACCAGAACTGGGGCAAAGGACTTGGGGGGGAGGGCCTCCAATGGTCTCTGCAAGCCAAAGCCAGCCCGAGTGGTGACAAGAAATCCGGGCGGCCGTCGAACCGGGCTGGAACCCCAAAACTTGAGCTGACCTTGCGGGCCAGAGGCCTGGGGGCCCAGCAGCACTTCCCTGGCGCACACGTGGGGCGCTGGGGTGAAGAACAACCCCGCGGCCCCCCTTCGTTTCAATCCTACGCTCGGGTGGATCGGATGCGGGAAAAGAATGGACTTCGGTTTTCATTTTGGTTCCCTAATCCATGTCTTCCCTTCTTTCCACGCAGAGTCCCTCCCCAGCCCCACCTTCTCCTCTCGAACCCCAAACTCAAAACATGGACCAGAGGAGACACTGAGTGTTTCCGGATCCCGAGCTGTCAGCCCCTTGGCCGCGTTACCTACTCGTTGAGCGGAGGGCACTGCCGGGACTCGGAAGGGCGGGCCGGGGCCGCAGGGGTCCAGGAAGGGGCGCCGGCAGCGTGGCGCTCCTCCCGCGGGCCGCGGCGCAGCAAGCGGCGGAAGACGCAGCGAAAGTCGGGGCTGCGGCAGTAGATGAGCGGGTTGAAGGCAGAGTTGGCATAGCCCAGCCAGTTAAGGGCCAGGAAAGCCTGGTCGGGAACCAGGGAGGGGCCCCCAAGGGCGCGCACCACGTTGGCCACAAAGAAGGGCAACCAGCAAAGAGTGAAGGTACCCATGATGAGACCCAAGGTGCGCAGGGCCCGGTGTTCCGGGAGAGGC